ATTCAGAGTTTGTTGACTTTCTTGGATATTTATATTCATACTTTTCATCAAACTTGGGGAATTTTCGACCATTGTTTCCTCAAATATTCTCTCTGACCCTTCTCTCTCTTTTCTCTTTCTGGGACTTCTGCAATGCATATGTTGGTCTACTAATTTGTGTCCCACATGTTTTTTAGGTTCTGTTCACTTTTCTGCAATCTTTTTTTCTCTTCTTCAGATTCAACTATTTCAATTGTCCTAGCTTCATGTTTGCTGATTCTTTTGCTGGCTCAAATATGCCTTTTAACCCCTCTAGTGAATTTCTCATTTCTGTTATTGTACTTTTCAGCTCTAGGATCTCTCTCTCTCTCTCTCTTTTTTTAAGTAGGCTCCACATGGAGCCCAACATGAGGATTGAACTCTCAACCCTGAGATCAAGACTTGATCAAGAGTCAGAGGCTTAACCCACTGAGCCCCCAGGGGTTCCCAGAATTTCTTTTTAATTCCTTTTTAGATTTTCTATCTCTATTGACATTATCATCTTGTTCATACATAGTTTTCTTGACTTTCTCCATGTCTTCCTTTAGTTCTTGAGCATATTTATTAAAGTTGTTTTAATATTAAAGTTGTTTAGTAGGTCTGCCAACTGATCTTCCTCAGGAATAGTTGCTTTGGATTTATTTTTTCCTTTGAATGGGCCATATGTTCCCTTTTTTGATATGCTTTATGATTCTTTTGTTGAAAACTGGACATTTGAATCTAATGATGTGGTAACTAGAAATCTGATTCTCTCCCCTCCCCAGGTTTTGCTGGATTTCATTTTTTTTTTTTTTATTGTTTTAGGCTATCTACTAAGAATCTTCCAAGGGTAAGCATAAAGTGAAAACTTAACATCTTCTCAGGTCTTCTGCAAGATTTCATTATTCCCTGGGTATGCACAATGACTTTCTAATTTCCCTGTATGTATGGATGGTTTGAATGCCCTAGTCTTTAATGCCTGGCTCCCAAAAGAGGAAAAAAATGATTTAGGGAAGAGAAGTCACCAGCCCCTTAAATTCCCTGAAGTCACTTCGGTCAGAGCTTAGGAGCTTGTGGAGTGAGAGGGATGCAACAATGGCTGCCCACCTCTGTATCTTCACCTTTATGATCGAAATGGCAGTCATCTTTTAGAACACAGATCTTGATATTTGGAGGTCAAGATCCTTATTGCTCACCATAGCTCTCACCAGCTGCATATAAGCTTCTCCTACAACTCCTCCACTGCCTGCCATGGGGCTGAGGGTGGCAAATGGGTGACTATCACTGAGCTAATAGCTGAAATTGACTGATATTAACCACAGTTTGCCATCCAAGCCTTCTTCTGGAAGTTGCAAGCCCTCAATAGATTCCAGAGTTCCAAATATTTATATCAGATCGATTACATCAGTGCTATTGTTGCCTAGGTGGGGAGACAGATACCTGGTGTTTTCTACTGCACCATCTTCCTGAAAACCTTCACTTTCATTTTTGATGGTTTTGCTACATATAATATTCTTGGTTAACAGGTTTTTCTTTCAGCACTTTGAATGTCATCTCACTGCCTCCTGGTCTTCATTTTTTCTGGTAAGAAATCAGATGTTAACCTTATTAGGGTTCCCTTGCATATAATGTCATTTTTCTCTTTGATTTTGATCATTTTTTACTATGATGCATCTGGGTGTGGATGTCTTTATCTTAGAATTTGTTGGGCTTCTTGAATTTGTAGATTAGTGTTTTTCATCAAATGTATGGGATTTTCACCCATTATTTCTTCAAATATTTTATTTTTTTAGTAATCTCTATACCAAAGGTAGGGCTTGAACTCAAAACCCCAAGATCAAGAGCCAGTCAGGCACCCTTCTCCAAATATTTTTCTGCTCCTCTCTCCCTCTCCCCATCATTTCTATTCCACCCTTCCTTCTTCTGGTACTTCCATTATGCATATATTTTTTTTTTTTTTTTTAAGATTTTATTTATTTATTTATTTGAGAGAGAGAAACAGCATGAGAGGAGAGAGGGTCAGAGGGAGAAGCAGGCTCCCTGCTGAGCTTGGAGCCCGACGTGGGACTCGATCCCGGGACTCCGGGACCATGACCTGAGCTGAAGGCAGTCGCCTAACCAACTGAGCCACCCAGGCGCCCCCATTATGCATATATTGATATGTTTAGAGGTACTATGTTTCTTTGAGGCTCTGTTCATTTTCTTCATTCTTTGTTCTCTGTTTTTCAGATTGGGTGATCTATCTTCAAGTTCACTGATATTTCTTCTGCAAGTTCAAATAACTGTGAGCTTCTCTAGTTAATTTTTAGTGAATTTTAATTATTGTACTTTATACCTCCAGAATATCCTTTTTTAAAAATTTTACCTCCTTGATATTTTCTTTTTGATGAGATATTGTCATCATTCCTTCCTTTACTTCTTTAAGCATACTTTCCATTAGTTCTTTGGAACTAATATTTATTTAGCTTATTTATAATGGCTGCTTTTATGTCTTTGTTAATTCTGACATCTGGCCCTTTTCAGTTTCTGTTGCTTGCTCCCCCCCTCCCCCCTCCCCAACCCCATATGAGTTACACTATCCTATTTCTTTGCATATCTCATAACTTTTTGTTAAAAACTGGACATTTTAGATTATATATATTGTAGGATCTTTGGACACTGATTCTAGTGACCCACCCACCCCTCTTCCAGGCTTGTGATTGTTTTATTTAATTACTTGACTAATTTAGTGAAGTTAATTTCCCCTTCAGGGTGAATGAAGTCTCTGATTTCATTTCTTAGAAGGTGCAGCCTTGGGCATGCACATAGTCACATAGGGTGATAAGAGCTTCTAACAGGCCTTTCTCTATTTTCCTGATCTCTTTGTTAAACTATCTGCCTTTGCTGGTGTCAAACTCAAGACATTAGCTCCATGCCAATGGATTGCTCTTTGTTTTGATGATGCCCTAGGGCCTAAAATGCTATGTAGTCTGATCTAATTAGATCTGGGCCTTTTTGCACAAGTTTTTGAGGCTAGTCTTTGAGGCTTGTTACGACCCCAGGAGGTCTCTTTTTACCTCTTTACCTGTTCTCTGGTTAAATTACCTAGCCTAAAAATAACTTAGTTTGTTACTCTGGTGGAGCTACCAACCCCCTTTTAATTTTTTACCATGAAGTTTTCCATTTCCTTCAGAGTTCCTTAGTCCTGAACTTCCCCATACCCTTCCAGATAAAATTAGTTCCTTTGGGGGGCGCCTGGGTGGCTCAGTTGGTTAAGCGACTGCCTTCGGCTCAGGTCATGATCCTGGAGTCCCGGGATCGAGTCCCACATTGGGCTCCCTGCTCGGCAGGGAGTCTGCTTCTCCCTCTGGCCCTCCCCCCTCTCATGTGTTCTCTCTCATTCTCTCTCTCTCAAGTAAATAAATAAAATCTTTAAAAAAAAAAAAAAGTTCCTTTGGGGAGAGCTTCAGAGTTCTCTGTTCTTATGGCTTCCTCTCCCCTGGGGGAAAGAAATCTATGTCACTCCTCTGTAGCTATGGGTGGTAGGGCCACGATCTGCTTCTCTAGGGTTGATATACGTACTTTATGATCAGAACTCAATTGGGATGGTAGCTTCTGGTCTTCTTGGCTTGACTCTCCTGGCATGGAAACTTCACCCTATAAGCATCTAGGAAGAGGGTGATCAGAGTCCTGATACTCTTGGCCTGCTACACCAGGGGTAAAGCCTCCACCCTGAGTGGGAGTTGGGTGGAGGGTCCTGACCTTTTGGCTGCACTTGGCTGCAGATTAGCCTTTGCAACACAAATCTAGGGGGGTATGAGAAATACTGGCTGCCTGCCCCTCCTTGGGAGATACCACAGGACTTCAGTGGATACTGCGAGGACAGTGAGCATTGTCTTCTTGGCCATATCCACTCAGAATGGGGTTTCTGTAGCACTGAGCTGTGTGGGGGGGGTGGCAGTGGTGGTGGTGGTTTAAGGCAAGAATAAGTTGCAGTGTATATGTCACCATGCTCTTAATGTTCTTTTAGAGATTTAGATTTTCTTGAATGTTTCATTTACTGTATGATCTTAAGACAATATGCAGAGACCTTAAATCGTTGTTTAAAAAATTTTTTTTTAACCAATCATGGTAGTTAGGGTGAACATGTAGCCATTCCAGAAGTTATTTGTCTATTTGTTGCTAATATTGTACAGTTTGTCTCACCAAAAACAGTTTAAAACAAAGGACGTTTATTCATATACTTTAGATTTTAAAAATGAAATTTTGATAATCTCAAAACCCCAAATACTATGAATTTAGAAAAGAATAAAAATTCTCAATAGATTTTTTTGCGTTTAAAAAATATTTATCATTCAGAAAAAAATCTCAATAGAATAAAATAACATCCAAGGTAAAAAAGATATCAAGACATGGAATTTTAAGAGCAAACTTTTTCATTATTTTAAGTACAAGAATTATAACTGCTTTTTTGCTTGTTTGTAAATCACTGTTTGCTTTTTGATATTTTTCTTTCACGTTGAGGATTGTATTTTAATACACAATATATAAAATCATAATGCCCAGAAACACCAGTTACCATCACAAGAGCAATGCTCTTCATTTATTGGTTATCCAATTCACATGGTTGCCAATTATTAGGAAGAGTAATAATCAAGCAGATTTGTAAATCTGCTCTCTTTTTCATTTAAATGCTATTCATGGATGGCTGTCTTTTAAGAATTCTGGAACATAAATGGGAGTTTTCTTTTTACAGATCACACGGACTTTTAAGTATATTGTCTTATGCTGCTTAATACTGACTTTATAAAAGCCATAGGTGTTGAGTATGTGTGTATAATTATTTTTAAGAGCTAGAGATGATCAGAGAATATTAATTGAACCAAAAAAAATCCATATCAAGGGAAACTTTCATTTGCTTTCACCATTTCTGTCACACTTCTAAGATAGGAATTACACAAATTATAGTTAAGAGAAAAAAAAGATCTCATGTACTTGGACTTCCAAGTAAAAAGTTTTGCCAATAATTTTAAAACACCACTGTTTCTTTACTGCAATGACAATTATTTTTAGTTCACATAACAGATATACAGTTACTAAACATTTAAATTATTTTACAAAATTTTAAAACTTCTTTAACTCAGAATTTGATGGTTCAAACTATGCAGCAGTTCAAAGTGAAGTTTATATTTCCACTACAACCAAGTATAAAAAGAATGGCAATTAATTCTATCCTAATCCAGAAACCCATTTTAAAGAATCTGAGAATAACTGCTTAAATGTAAACAGTAATCAGAGAACAGATGACCACTTGTCACAGATATTTTACAAACAGATTTCTGCAGGGTTTGGAGGTTAGACTAGTGTTCAGTCATTTGTAAGTCCCTTCTGATTCTAAAATTCTATGATTTCATAGTTTTCCTAACAGTTTTATTAAGGAAGTTATTTCTTCTCACCATTATTGCCAGATTACATCATCACACATAAATGGAAATTTTAGTACGTTACTGTATGTACTTAAAATAAATGTCATCTTTCAGAATATGCTGCAGTTCACATGAGTCTTCCCCCAATTTGTTCCAGATTGAGACTGTGTCCATTTGTTTCAGAATGAGTTTCATCATGTTTGAATAGGACCTATTTCCTTTACCTGGCAATGTAAGAAACAATACAGTAGCCAAAATGAATTTTTAAAACATTTACCAAATATTACATCTCATATTCAGAAATAACCACCTGTACCTCAAACTCCCTATGTTAAACTATGATATTTATTTAAATGCAAACAGCTGGTATACATGCTGCTTGCTCAGTTCTCTCCAAATAGAGATTTGTTTGTTAGGAAAAGAAACTTCAGGTTAAATCATAATGTTAAGATGCTAAGTAATTAGGATTGCCACTTTTACAATTCAATTTTGGATTCTTGGTTTGGGGGACACATACACACAAACACACACACGTTTCCTTTTATGTAGATAACAATAAGATATATGCTTTGCAAGATGTTTACTCATATATCCTCCAGGAATTGCTAGACAGATGAAATATAAAACCAACCTATTTTGTGGGTTTCCAAAACAGTGATGAGATCCATGAGTAACTAGAAAACATCTTCTGATTCATTAGCGTTAGTTCTATATGTTATCAGACCATATAACTTTGAATAATCTTCTGATTATAATTTTCTATTTTTAAAATACTGGTTCATAAAAAATCAAGGTATTATCCACTGGTAGCACAGCAGTAAATTACATTGAAAACCACTCTACAAAAGATACTTTTGAATGTCACTGTTTCATATTTTTAATACTGCCTTAAAAGGCCTGTTACTCTTCAACTATCTCAGTGTACTTTGAAATATAAAATAATCGTAATTGGAACAATTAGTCTAAATCTAAGTAGGTAATTCCTAAGGCAGTATTTGTTTACTCAGAACATATTTTCATTTCAAATATGTAACTAAAAGTTCTCACAAAGTCAGAATACATCTCATAGTTTGAATAGAAACTTCAGTGTTTAAATTTCAACATTCAGTAACATAAACACTACATATTAGGTTGCTCTGGAATACAAATCACTCAAGTAAATGGGATATAATTTCAAACTTGTGTTAAAAGTGAAGAAATCCTTTTTTATGTGAAGATGTGACCAAAATCAATTGGTCATATTATTGTACGAATTAAACTCTACTGACACAACATATTTGTTAGATATTTGGATACAGTTGAGAACTAGATGCTCCTTAAGGTTGGGGATAATGAAAGAAAAGGCATACTATGGATCAGGCCCCCCATTTTTATTACTTTATTAATAACAACGCCTACTTTATTGAAGAATGTCTCTTCCACTGGAGATATGCTTCTAATTTAATAATGCTAGACAGTGGGGAAAAAAAGACGGACCCACTTTTAAAAACTCATACTTATTTACTCATATTGACTAGATATAGAATGACTCTTCATTTTCTGCTCTGAAGACAACCAATTTATTTTTTTAAGTATTGACTTGTCAATTTATCTTTGACAAGTACTTAAGAAAGATAAACAAATCTTCTGACTTTACAAATAAGAATATGTGAATAAGAATATATATATTCTGAGAAGTTACATCTCGTGATCTGACTTACAATGTAACTAAATTCTTTTAATAACCTGCATTAATTTTACATTTTAAACTTAAATTGTCCTTGCTATACTGTTCACATTCACTTTACTTTTCATTTTTACATTTCTATAAATACCCAAAAAACAAAACTCTTCAATTTGAAACCAACTTATATTGGAGTTCTGAGGTTAGTTTATAACTTTTAAGATATTTTGTTAAAATGTAAAAACCCTGAAATTACAAACAAAAAATTTACAATTTTATAGTATATATCTAATTTATTTTTTTAAAAAAATATTCTGAATTGTTTTTATACAAGTAATCAATTGTTATTTTTTCAAATGAAACTCCTTTATAGGCTAGAAGAGGGTGTGTGGTGTTGCCCCATTAAAAACCAATACAAACATCATTTTTTTATGCTGGCACTTCAACTATTTCAAAGTAGTCATTCGGCAAAATCACGTAACCTCTCTCTGATATGTCGTCCTTCTCTTTCTGGAAGTGAACAACCTCCTTTAATTTTTCAAGCTGTCGTTCTTGTCTTCTGCATCGCTGCTGTGCAGTCTTGAGCTTCTTTCGGAGTTTTTCAACTTGTTGTTCTAGCTGATGAATCCTTTTTCTCTGGTGCATTGTATCCTCCACAGTATAGTTGTGGTCACAGAAAACAGAGAGATTATCAGGGGTCTGAAGAGGAGGCATTAGTAATCCAATAGCAGCATCAACCTGGGAAATGGGAGGTGTTAAAGGAGGCGGGGGAAGCTGTTCTTGTGGCTCCAGAAGATCTTCCTTCTACAACAATAATGCAGAGTATGTTCAAGTTTAGTAACTACAAATAACAGTTCAAAAGAATCCACCTGTGGAATTTAAGAATGACATTTTTACAAATTGGACAACCTAGAAGAAATGGTTAAATTTCCAGAAACACAGAATCATCCAAGAATGAATCAGGAAGGAATAGAAAATATGAATAGACCAATTGCTAGTGATGAAATTGAAAAGGCAATCAAAAATCTCCCAAAAGACAAGAGTCCAGGACCAGATGGTAAATGCTACCAAATATTTAAACAGTTAATACCTATTCTCCTCAAAATATTCCAAAAAATAGAAGAGAAAGGACTTCCAGATATATTCTCTGAGGCCAGCATTACCCTGATATCAAAAACAAAGACACTACAACAACAACAACAAAAACTACAGGCCAATATCCCTGTTGAACATAGATGCAAAAATAAATATGAGCATATTCAACAATACATTAAAAGGATCATTTACCACAATCAAGTGGGATTTATTCCAGGTATGCAAGGATGGTTCAATATTTGTAAATCAATGTGAAGCACTACATTAACAAAACAAAGGATAAAATCATATGATCATCTCAGTAAATGTAGAAAAAGCATCTGACAAAATTCAACATCCATTCATGATAAAAAGTCTCAACAAAGTTGGCTTAGGGGGAACATACCTCAAAATAAGAAAGGCCATATATGAAAAATCCACAGCTAACATCACACTGAGTGGTGAAAAACTGAGAGCTTTTCCCCTAAGGTCAGGTACAAGACAAGGATGTCCACTCTCACCACTTTCATTCAACATAGTACTTGGGAAGTCCTAGCCATAGCAATCAGACAAGAGAAATAAATAAAAGGCATCCAAATTGGTAAGGAAGAAGTAAAACTGTCACTATTTGCAGATGACATGATATAGACAACCCTAAAAACTGCAACAAAAAATTAACAGAGGTAATAAGTGAATCCAGTGAAGTTGTAGGATACAAAATTAATATACAGAAATCAGTTGTGTTTCTATACACTAAAAATGAAGTAGCAGAAAGAGAAATTAAGAAAACAATTCCATTTATAATTGTGCCAAAAAGAATGAAACACCTAGGAATAAATTTAACCAAGGTGAAAGACCTATACTCTGAAAACTATAGAACACTGATGAAACAAATTGAAGATGACACAAATAAATGAAAAGATATATACCATTCGCATGGATTGAAAGAATTAACGTTGTTAAAATGTCCATACTACCCAAAGCAATCTACAGACTCAATGCAATCCCTATGAAAATACCAACAGCATTTTTCAAAGAACTAGAAAAAGTAATCTTAAAATCTGTATGGAACCACAAGAGACCCCAAATAGCCAAAGCATACTTGAGAAAGAAGAACAAAGCTGGAGATACCACAATCACAGTTTTCAAGATATACTACAAAGCTGCAGAATCAAAACTGGCACAAAAACAGAAATATAGATCAATGGAATAGAACGGAGAGCTCAAAAATAAACCCATGCTTATAAGGTTAATTAATCTACAACAAAGGAGGTAAGAATATATAATAGGGAAAAAACAGACTCTTCAATAAATGGTGCTAGAGAAACTACAGTTACATGAAAAAGAATGAAACTGGACCACTTTTATACACCATACACAAAACTAAATTCAAAACGGATTAAAGACTTAAATGTGAAACCTGAAACCATAAAAATCCTAGAACAAAACATAGGCAGTAATTTCTTTGACATCAGCCTTAGCAACATTTTTCTAGACCTGTCTCCTCAGGTAAGGAAAACAAAAGCAAAATAAACAATTGTGACTACACCAAAATAATAAGCTTTTTCACAGGGCAGGAAACCATCAACAAAACTAAAATGAAATCTAGTGTGGGGTGCCTGGGTGGCTCAGTCAGATAAGCGCCCCACTTGATTTCAGCTCAGGTCATGATCTCAGGGTTGTGAGATTAAGTCCAGTGCGGGCTCTGTGTTCAGCAGGGAGTCTACTTGAGATACTCTCTCCCTCTGCCCTTACCCCATGCACTCTCTCTCTAAAATAAATGAATCTTTAAAAAAATAAAACAAAATAAAAATAAAAAAAATAACATGTGAGATGCCTGGGTGGCTCAGTCAGTTAAGTGTCTGCCTTCGGCTCAGGTCACGATCCCAGAGTCCTGGGATCAAGTTCCAAATTGGGCTCCTTGCTCAGTAGGGAGACTGCTTCTCCCTCAGCCTGCCACTCCCCCTGCTGTGCTTTCTCTCTTTCTCTCTCATTCTAACAAATAAATAATAATAATAATAAAAAAACACAGACAACCTAGTGAATGCAAAAAGATATCTGCAAAAAATATATCTGATAAGGAGTTAATAACCAAAATATATACAGAACTTATTCAACACTACATCAAAGAAATAATCCGTTAAAAAATGGGCAGAGGACACGAACAGACATTTTTCCAAAGACATACACAAGGCCAACAAACACATGAAAAGATGCTCAACATCACTAATCATCAGGGAAATGAAAATCAAAACCACAATGAGTTATCACCTTATAACTGTCAGAGTGATTAGTATCAAAAAGACAAGAAATAACAAGTGTTGACGAGGATATAGAGAAAAGAGAACCCTCATGCACTGTTGGTAAGAATGCAAATTGGTGCAGTGACTGTGGAAACCAGTATGGAGGTTTCTCAAAAACTTAAAAACAATTACCATATGATCCAGTAATTCCACTACTGGGTATTTACCCAAAGAAAATGAAAACACTAATTCAAAAAGATATATGCACCCCTATATTTACTGCAGCATTATTTACAATAGCCCAGATATGAAAGCGACCCAAGTGTCCATTAATAGATGAATGGATAGAGATGTTCTGTGTGTGTGTGTGTGTTTGTGCGTGTGTGTGTGTGGAGGGTATACCTATATATCTATACATATATATGTACATACATACATACACAATAGAATATTACTCAGCTATAAAAAAGAATGAGATTTTGCCATTTTGCGACAACATGCATGGACCTAGAGGGTATCATGCTAAGTGAAAAAAGTCAGAGAAAGACAAATACCATGTGATTCCACTTATATGTGAAATCTAAAAAACAAAACAACTGAAAAAAAAAAAAGCAAACAAAAAAGCAGAAAAAGACCCATAAATATAGAGAACAAAGTGATGGCTGCCTGAGGGGAGAGGACAGGAGGATGGAAAAAATGGGCAGAGAGAGGTACAGGCTTCCAGTTATGGAATGAACAAGACACAGGGATGAAAGGTACAGCATAGGGAATATGGTCAGTGGTGTTCTAACAGCCTTATATGGTGAGAGATGGTAGCTACAGTTGTGGTGAGCACAGCATAATGTGTAGATTTGTCTAATTAGTATGTTGTACACCTGAAACTAATGTAACATCATCATGTATCAGCTACACTTTGATTAAAAAGAAAGAACACTAGACTTTTTTGGTGAATCCTTGAAATAGGACCATTCTAAAATGAGAAAACAATTTAAGTTTTAATTATACTTTTCCACCTAAAGTAGAAATGGGATGCAAGAGAGAGAATGACTAATAAGATTTAATTAAATACTAACCACTTAAAACTGAGGGGTAAATACTTTGAAACTGAATGGTCCCTGATAAAGAAAACCCAAAACTTATCAACATACGTGTAGGGGTACAGAGTGACTAAAATAAGTCACAAAGCTAGATTGCCTTTCTTAGTGTGAAGATGTTTAACTTTAATAAACTGCACTTTGTATTTTTAAAAAGTATATCATTTTTGGGGCACCTGGGTGGCTCAGTTAAGCGTCTGCCTTCAGCTCAGGTCATGGTCCCAGGGTCCTGGGATGGAGCCCCACATCGGGCTCCCTGCTCCGCAGGAAGCCTGCTTCTCCCTCTCCCACTCCCCCTGCTTGTGTTCCCTCTCTCGCTGTCCTTCTCTCTCTGTCAAATAAATAAATAAAATCTTTTTTTTAAAAAAAGTATATCACAGTGGTTATCTACAAGTGATGGCTTCCAGGCAACATTTCTTTTTCTTTTTTTTTTTTTTTAGAAAGATTTTATTTATTTATTTGACAGAGAGACACAGCGAAAGAGGGAACACAAGGGAACACAAGCAGGAGAGCGGGAGGGGGATAAGTAGGCTTCCCGCTGAGCAGGGAGCCCAATTCGGGGCTTGATCCCAGGACCCTGGGATTATGACCTGAGCCAAAGGCAGACGCTTAACGACTGAGCCACCCAGGCGTCCTGTAACATTTATTTTCTTAACATTACTCTGAATTTTCCACAATAAAAACATTAATTTTATAAATAGAAAGCCCAGTATTTTAAAACACACGTTACCTTGTCATGTGGCTCAGTACAGAGAAATATCGTGGGTACAGCATTCTCTTTCAGCAACTTGTTGTTACACTCCCTCTTAAAGCAGTCAGGAGTAAAGTGTTCCGAACAGATACTGCTGTACTTCGTGGGCTTAAAGTTTTTCCTACGGACAGCTGCCTCCCATTTTTTGCAAAGACTGGGTCGAGTAAGAGGAAACCTAAGAAGAAGAGATAATTCAGTTCTCTGACCTTCTTTTAAAAGGAAAAAAAAAAAGCACATCCAGACTTTCCTGATTAGGAAAGAACTATCTTATATTGATGTGAACAAGCTAAGGGACATTTGATTAAAACACTAGCTCTGCTATCTTTTTTTTTTTGAGTTTTAGTTGTGCCTTTATTCACCTTAGTTAAAAATGTAATTGCTTTAAAGATCTTTTATAAATAAAGCGACCACCCACTAGTGTGTGATGTAAGTCAGCCCTCTCAGCATGGAATTTTTGTTTTTTTTTAAAAGCAGTATTTGGGGGTGTTGTATGTAAGGGATGAATCGCTGAATTTTACTCCTGAAACCAATATTGTACTGTATGTTAATTAGAATTTAAATAAAAATTAAAAAAAATAAAAAGCAGTATTTGTTATAGGAATCTTTTTATCACAGAGTAGTTATAAGAATGTCAGATACAATGATATATACAATTTAAACAAGACAGGCTGATTAAAAATTTACAAAATGTAAAAATATACATATTAAATGTCAGCCATGCAGACAGATGCATGCAGTGAGAAGAGGATATGATGGGAGGTGGGAAGTCAAGGGACATATGCAGTAATATTTATCTTAATTTACCTCGAAATCAACTGGAATATGTCCATCAGGCCCAGATAAGGGGGCTTGGGAAGAGTTTAAATTTATTGTGATTTTACTCTTCCAGGTCAAGTATTTAGTGAACTGGGGAGACTGGAAAGAAGCCAAAGGATGTTTCAACTCTATGTTACAGTTTCTCTCCCATGTAAGGCATGCTACAGCCTGACTCTGCTATCATGAAGAACTAACCAATCTTTGGGACAGTTCTTTTCTTTGCCCAGAATAGCTGCTGCTACAGGGCCACCATGTAGAAACTGGTAAAAGTACCCCTAGAAGATCCCTGCTGGAAATGGCTTCCAGAAATACAAAATTCAGCACCTTGCACTCCTGTCTCAAGCACTACAATGCTCAGGCTGTTTATGGAGTTCTGTCAAGTTATTTCCCATCTAGTCCCCCAAAAATGTTCTTTATAGGTAAGAATGAGAGGCAGATCAGCTCTTCCTTTGATTCAGTCGTTTCACAGCCAGCAGAAACTATTTCTGATGTGTGAATGCCACCCTTAGTTTCCAGTACCAATGAAAGATTTTCCACATTTTTAGATTCTTTCTGAGATATCATTAGAAATGGGGTTGTGGGGAGCTGACTGTATGTAACCGTGTTACCATCTTCTAATCTATTCCTACACTTTCAAAGAACTGGAAGTCAATTCACCAACTTTCAGAAATTCCAATAAATGAAGAAGTAATATCAGGATATACTGAAGTAGATCCTGGAAGTGTTAAGTGTTCTCTCTCCTCCTCGAGGTGGAGGGTAGGGGTGGTGCTGGTGGTACATCAATCAACACTCAAGATCTATGTTGTAAGGCACTCATTTCTTTTGGGTCCCTCTCATATCAAACATAAAATGCATCTACATCCCCTGTTAAACACAAACGACAGCACCAAAAAAAATTGAAGGAGTATTTAATTTTTGCTTTTGTAATTATTTACCTATGAATAATTCCTATAATTTACCACGGATCTAATCTCTTAGCTATCGTCTACTTATTGTCGGGAATTCTTGCAAAAGAAGTTAATGTAAAAGTAATAAAATTTGTAAATACTTTATTTGGCTGAATGAAAATGCCATCGTGTCACATTTTGCAGACATCCGATTATCATTAAGTCGTTTCCATTTTGCAGTTTTCTTTTCCCATTTTCAAGAGAACATTTTTCCCTCCAGGACTACTCTAACTGCAGCACTTTCTGGATAAAACAGTCCTGAAAGTTGTGGGGCGAGTTCTTTTCAAAGCGCTTCCTCTAGGCGCCCGTAATAGCTCATACTGACTTCTATTATGACACTTGATTATGGCCGGTGTTATTATTGCCCACGTTATCGTTACTGTGCGCTTGAAATATTAAGTATTCATCTTGTCAGTACCACAAGCTTTCTCTAAAACTTGGGGAGTTCCTCAAAGGTTAGTTCCTAGAAACTGGGTAAAAACATCCTCCCTGAAATCCTGGCCAAAACTCAATCTTTAATTACTGTGATGCTGGCCTCCCATCCACAGCAAGGATGAAAAAGAGTGGCTTCGTCATTTGAAAGGTCTTTCTTTGTCTCTACTTCAAATTTACTTCTAAGGTGTTATTACCACCTAGCTTCTCTATTACCCCAGGGGCGAGATCCAGATGCCTCTCGGGTTTGAGGACCTCACGACCCGCGCTCCTGGGTCGCGAACACGCCAACCCGAGGCGGCGGCGAACCTCCCGCACGGGTTCCGACCCTCAAGCGCGAGAAACGGTCACCGCGGCGACGCGCGCCGAGGACGCACAGCCCTGGGCGGTGGAACGTGAGCTCCAACCCTGGGCGGGTACGCCCACCGCTCGCGGCCGGAGACGGCGAGCAGGGCCCGGTCGTGCCCCGCCCCTGCCCCGCCCCTCTCATTAGGTAGCGCGCGGACACGCGCCTGGCTCCGCCCCCGAGCCTAACCGGCCGCGCGCCCCCAGCCCGAGCTGGGGCCAGCCCCGCGAGACGCGCAAGGTACTTACTTGTGGAAAGAAACGGGCTTATCCTTATCATACCGGTTCTTGCAGCCGTAGGCGGAACAGGACTGCACCATCCTTCCGGTCTTCAGTCACTTCACTTCTGCCGCTCCCGCAGGCAGGAGAAGCTGCTATCAATGTCGCCGCGCTGGGCTTTGACACCCTCGCTTCTTCTGTAGCTTTGGTCAACAGTTACAGTGATGATAAGCTCACTCGGGTTGGCTATTGCGCCCGTTTTGTTGTTTGCATTAGCAGAAGGACCACAGCCATCGCCCGTCTCCCATCTCCAAGATGGCGGAGGCAGCTTCAACCTCACCTCTCGCGAGGAGTTTGTCTCACTGTCTCTGATTAGCCCTGAGGTCAGAGGTAACGTTCCTTGGGAAGCAGACCATTGGCTAAGGCTCGGCGTTGCGGAAGTGGGTGGGGCCTCGAGCTTCCGGAAAGGAGAAAGGAAGTGTTTGCTAGGAGAGGCAAGGGGAGGGGACCCGAGCCTGAGTGCAGGGTCAGACTCCACAACCTGTGTGATTTCCTTGTGTTAATTTATCTGGGACGGTTTAGGGTGGAGAACGGCGCGGTCTTTGGGTATGGTGGCCCAAAGGAGGACAGGTGTAGAGCTGAGGTCGTTGGGTAATTCTTCCCATTTCTTTTAGCGCAGCCACGGATGGTATATGATTTTTGTGAAACTTTGTGGATCCCTTTCCCACATCGCCAGTTTTCATCCCATTACCTGTTGCTGCAGGTATCACAAGGCTCCGTGAGAGCTCAGGCACCAGAATTTTAGCAATGAAAGACATACACGCTCACTTCTGAAGGGCTTCCATTGCTGTAGTGTTCTGCAGGTGCTGTTGGAAATCATGAACTGCTGCAGCTATTTTCCCACCGTTTGCCTCTTGTTGCGTGCACCTCCCCTCTATGTAGATGAGAGCCTGGAAATCTGGATAGCAGGCTGTTGACAAACTCCATGGCTCTATTATACTTTTTCTGCCCCACTCTCCCCCCCCCCGCCCCCCTAAGTCCTGATGTTTCCCCAGGGTTCCATCCTCTGCCCTCCTCTGACTCTAAACACCCTGCTGCTTGAATTCAATAAAATGCTATGATTTCCTAAATCTTCTATTTCTTATGTAAATTTTTCTGCCTTCGGATTATCATCTGTGAATTATCTATTCAGTTGCTTAAACCGGAAACCTTAGTTTTCTTTCTCACCCTCTACATCCGATTGATGGCCAGGATAATTTTATAGAATAAATAAATACTTATTAAATCCACCCCTCTCCATCTCTCTTTTCATTGTTCTTGATCAGGCCCTCAGACCCATGCAACAACCCCTGACTGTCCGTCTCTAGTTTTGCCTCTCCAATCTTTCCTCCACATTAAGTAATTGTCATACACTTATTCACATCCTTCAGAAGCTACCTCCTCTACTGGATAAAATCCAGACTTCTTCTGGTGAGTCATAAAGCCCTTGAGGACCAGCTACCTCTACCTTTTCACCATCATCTCCACTTTAACTTAACTCTTTCCTAGCATATTTTACACAGGGCAGGCATTCTCCTGGCTTCCGGAAATAGGCTGTTTTCCCTTAGGCTGAAATGCCTTTCTCTGACCTGTCCACCTTCAAGATGTGGTCTCAATGTTATGTTTCTAACAAGCTCTCCAACTTAGGCACCTCTCTTGTTCCAGTGAAACTTGTACTTAACCTCTCTATAGGATTATGAACCATACTGTAATGTCTATGTCCTTGTCCCACTTCATGAACTAAGATCCTGTTGAGGAGGAGGACTTTGTCTTATTTAGCCTTGTAACCCCAGCAGCTTGCAGTGTCTGGCATAAATTAAGTATCTAGAAAATGTTAAATCAACTGGGCCCAGAAACCTTGTGCCTAAAATAATTTCAGAGCCATATCCCTTTACCAAATACTAAAATAAATAAATACTAAAATGCTAATAATAAACTTATTAGCATTTCCAGGGATAGACAGGCAGTAATTTCCTCCGTGGTTTGCTGTGCAATAAGGATCAGAATGTGATAAGTGCTTGTGAACTAAAAAGTATATTTTAACTAAGCGTTCACTGAAATTCTTTACTCATCAGTTGATTCAGCAAATATTTACTAAACATTTGCTAGGTTCTAGGGGCTTGAGATACATAAGTGAATAAGACAAAGACTTCTGCCGTCATGAAGCTAACATTCTAGTGGAGGTTGGAGGAGGGAGACAGAGCATAATGACCATATGACATGTTAAAAGGTGAAAGGAGCAATGTGGCGGTGGGGGTTGCAATTTTAAATACTTTCAGGGATCATTTCTATAGTTTGTTAAATACAATGGTTAGGATAAGCCTAATAGAGGAAGTGACTATTGAGCTAAGATTTGGAATGGGCAAGAGTTAGCTAGGAGGATATCTGGGGGAAGAGCCTTGCAGGCAGAGGGAATGGCTAAGGCAAAACTCCTGAAGCTCAGTATCCCCAGCCTGTACAAAGAACAGTAAAGGGGCCAGTGTGGCTGGAGCAGAGTGGGGCACATGGGGCAAATATAAAGTTAGAGGAAACAGGATGAGGCCCCATGTAGGGACTTGGAAGCTAGTGTAAGGACTTTGACTTGTACTCAGATGGTGAACATGTTTTAAGCAGAGTGGTGATCCAATCTTTTAAAACAATCACTCTGCTGTGTTGAATATAGATAGCAGGGGGAACTTAGAGGCAGGGAGACTGACTGGTAGGCAGGCTTGTGTGGCAATGTAGATGAGAGATGGTGGCTTACACCTGGGTGGTAAGGAGTAAGGAGTGATCTTGTCTTCTCTCCCTTTTCCCCCTTCCATTTCTTTATTAACCTTTATTGAGCAAATGGCAGGCATTATGCTAGGTCTTGCTCTTTGTGAACAAGATTAACAGTCCCTGGGGCGTCTGGGTGGCTCAGTCGTTAAGTGTCTGCCTTCGGCTCAGGTCATGGTCCCAGGGTCCTCGGATCGAGCCCCACATCAGGCTCCTTGCTCTGCGGGAAGCCTGCTTCTCCCTCTCCCACTCCCCCTGCTTGTGTTCCCTCTCTTGCTGTGTCGGTCACATAAATAAAATCTTTAAAAAAAAAAAGATCAACAGGGGAAGACAGACAATAAAATATGTGAATTAAATGTGAATTTAAAAAAGTGTGAATAAAATAACATTGTGCTGAGATGCCTGAATACATTAGAATGTAAGGGTGAATGAGGTTAGAGGAGGGCTAACTTACTTTAGCTAGAGTGGTTAGGTCATCTGAGAAGGGAACATTTTGCTGAGAACCAAAGAATGGGAAAAAATCTAGTAATGTAAAGAATGAGAATGGGGAGGCTGGGAAGAGCATTCTCCATACAGGGAGTGTGTACTAAGGCCCTGTGGCAGTAGTGAGTTTAGTATTATCTGGGAACTGAATGGAGGCTGGGGTGTAGACCCAGGGAGCCAGGGGAAGGGCGTGAAGTGAGGTTGAAGAAGGTGACTTTAAGTGCAGCAGGAAGCCAGTGAACCTTTATAGGCAGTGGAGAGACATGACATTTTTAAAATGTCATTCTGGCTATTAGGTGACGAGTTTATCAGAGGGGCAACAGTGCACGGGAGTAGCAGACCAATTAAGAGGCCATTGCAGGCAAGTAACACAGGTTGGTAACTTAGACTAAGGTAGTGGCAGTGGAGATGGAATGACCAGGATTTGAGAATATGCTGGAGGTAGAAATGTCAAGGCTTGGTGCTGATGGATGGATATGAGAATGAGGAAGAGAGAGGAATCAAGGTATTAAGGTTGACTTGTACTTGAATTTCTGGTTTCAGCATTTAGATGGAGGGATAGTGGTACCTTTTACTGAGATAGAGATGGCCTTTAAAAAAGAAGTATACCCCCCACCAAATAGAGGACTTGGAGGGTGGGAGCAATTTATGAAGTGGGGTCATCAGCTCTGGGAATATAGGACTGGGGAATGTCAGAAGAGAAGGAATGTGTAAAAGTTCGCAGAGGTTGGTAATGCAAGCTACTAAAGAAGCATGCAAGGATCACCAGCCAGTGCAGAGCACCCTTTTGAGGTTTGTGATCACTTTTAATCCATTTAGAGTGAAACTAGTCAATTTCATTATTTGGTTGGATTTCCCTCAGTGAAGTTCTCTTCTTCACTCCCCTTTTCTTCTGTTTCCTTTCTTCCAGCTATCCATAACTTGAAGTGAAATCTACATTTTTATTATTTATTGAAAATAATCCTGTTTCCTTACTTCAAAATGGAAAATTTATTGATGAAGTAAATTGCCTATAATTTAAAAAATATTAATTGAACTGAATGTTGAATTTTTCTTTCTAAAACACCCAAATTTTTACTGTGTGATCTACAAATTAATTTCTTTACTTAACAGAAAAATAATTTCTACTTTCTCTAAACTAATTTACATGCATTGTCTGTTTGTCTTCTCTCCTTTGCCCATTTCTTCTCAACATTTCCTAAGACTCAAATAACTATTCTCTACTTGTCAAGGGGTGACTGCCAGAAACATTTACTTTCAAAGATGATAGTCTGCCTTTTTAACAATCCAAATGTCCATTAATAGTTGAATGAATAAATTGTGGTATAGTCATACAAAGGAATACTATACAGCAATCAAAGTAAGGAAGCTATGACCCACAACAATATGGATGGTTCCTACATAATATTGAAGAAGTCACACAAAAGCAAATATATTATCCTATTTTTTTAAAGAGTAAAAAAGGTAAAAGTCAGAAGAAATTATTTTGGGGCAGAGAGGCAATGAAAGGGGGCTTATGGGATGATGGTAATATGTCTTTTGATGGAGGTGATACTGTGTTTGCTTTATGATAATTCATCATCTGACCCTGATGATTTAGAAAATCTGGTGTAAACTGAGGGTTGCTGGAGGGGAGGTGGGTGGAGGGATGGGGTAATTGGGTGATGGGCATTAAGGAGAGAGAGCACTTGATGTAATGAGCATTGGGTGTTATATGCAACTGATGAATCACTAAAATCTATATCAGAAACTAATAATATACTATATGTTAATTAAACTGAATTTAAATTAAAAAAAATTTTTTAATCCCTGGTGTTTATTCTACTTTAATAAAAGTTTATAAAGCAAACAAGGGCTACACAAAATATGCAAAATTTCCTTTCTTTTAGAGAATGGGAGAGATGTTTATATACTCATTTGATCTCTTCATTTGGTCCCTTACATAAAATGTCAAAAATGAATATATGCCTTAGCTTTATTTGACCATTTAAGGGAATGAGAATAAATAGGGGTAAACTGAGGAAGGCTGGTTGGAAGTCTGATGTTTTTCAAAGTCTTAAGAGGCCAAGAGCTAATTCACTTACTAATAGACTTTTTAAGGAAATAGATTAATA